AAGCAGCTTGGAGTGGAACTGATACCCATATGGAATGCTGATTATTCAGATGAGCCTATTGAGCCACCGTGTCAGCTTTACTTGCTTCATTTGTTTCTTTGCTTCTTTCTTTCTTTACCTCCCTTTTCCTTACCTTCTTCAGTGCATCTGTTACAGTCAGGCACTGTGGCTTCTCATCTGACTTCCTTAACTCCTGTGAATGTGACTTGACTGTGGATGTTCAATTTGCTCTTTCTGTTGGGGCAAGAGGAGTGGAATGTCTTAGCCAGACATTTATCACCTTACACAGTTACTGTGTTTATATTTGTGATGTAAATGTGGTAAGAGTACTTAAGACCTATTCTTTTGACCACTTTCCCATGTACAATAGAGTATTATTAGTTACAGTCACTATGTCACACTTTTAACAGAGCATCTATTTTTCTTACCCAGTATTTTCCTGCTTTTCCTGCCTAGCCCTAGAAATTACTGTTCTATTGTTTCTATAAATTCAACTTCTAAGAATTCCATATATAAATCAGAAAATGTAATCTTTCTTAGTATTTCTTATTTTATGTGGTATAATTTCCTCCAGATTCTTCTACGTTACAAGTGGATGAATACTATTTTTATGACTGAATTATCTGTTTTTCAATGTCTATTTGCCACTTTCACTCTACTGTTTCCATGTCTTGGCTATAGTGAGTAATGCTGCAATGAAATTGTGGGTGTGGATGTTCAGACCCTGATTTCACTTCTTTTTCTTACATACCAGGACATGGGATTGGTGGATCATATAGTAGTTCTGCTTTAACTTATTTGAGGTGTAGCCATACTGTTTTCCATAGTAGCTATACCAGTTTCTCTATATCCTTGGCAACTTTGATCATCTTAACATTGAGTAGACTCTGGGTATAATGAAAACTTTCTCTGTTTTACATTTGGGTCTTCCACAGGCTGAGCTGTGTCATTTGGTTTAGGTTACTGGCTGGGCTTCTTGTCTGAGGTATACACCTTCTATGTAGCATAGCCTTGCAAACTGCTGGCTAGATAGTTCCAGATAGCATAACTGTTCTCACTTTCTGGCCAAATGGGCCACTGCGTCAAATTTGTGCATGGGTTGAACAGCTGGCTGGGCTCTTTGATTGGATAAAATCTCTAACACAGGTACAACTAAACTGCCAAGATCCAAGAACTGGTCATTGCAAGGCTGCCTTCCTTGTTTCTCCTAACTGATCCTAGGTGAATTCACAAAGTGTGTTCACACAGGATGAAACAGTAATGGACATTCTTGAAAGTGTCCCAGAACACTGGAGAAACTAGTCTCCTTTGAATCGTCATCTTCTTTCAACTATTGAAATCATCTGCCAGAGAATCTTCCTGTTTGGCAATGCATGGTTGATGGAAGGATCATGTACAGCAAATATAACCTTTCTTCTGTCCTTCTTAACGAAATGTCCTTGTATTTGAATTCCAAGTAGATGCTTTGGTCTCATCCCTGAAATGTGAGATCGTTACAGTGGCCATGGCAGGGCAAGGGTACTAGTATGTCTTTTTGTGAGGATAACTAGAGCCCAGGACCCCCTATTTTACCATCTTGGTGACATATATTCTCACTATTTTTTCTGATTCATTCATAATTTCAGAATAATCTGTTGCCTCCCAGAACATGTATAAGTTCTTTTACTTGTTATTTTACATTTGTTCTTTTTTTTTTTATTCCCTTGGAACTGAATGTTTATTTTGGTGTAGAAATTTTCAAAATTCCTGAATAGCTTTTTCATAATGTACATTTCCTTGATATTTTATGAAGATTCCTCATGATAGCATACTTGAAAGATAATTTTGATGCTTATATAGTTCCAATTTAATGTTTTTCCTCAGCGCTTTGACTGTATTGCTTTCTGTTTTCTCAAGGGTTCGCTTTTGTGGAGTAGAATCCTATTACCAGTTCAGATGTCCCTTGTAAATTACACATAACATTCCCATGCCTACATTTTGCTTCTTTTCTCTATCATTTCTTTAGATTGTCATACTACATATGTCTGAGTGTGCTTGGTGTATGCTGTCCATTCCAAATCAGAGGATACATACATTTTATTAATTTCAGCATTTTCTCAGCCATTATTTCTTTAAATATAGCCGTAATTTTGCTTTCTACATCTTCAGTTAGGCATACATTAAACTTTCTTGTAGTATCCACTGACTCTGAAATTCTATTTAATAGTTTCCTTATTTTGCGGCTTACTTTGGTTTTTATTTCTGCTTAATATGATTTTTTAATTTTCTTCCTTTGCAAAGCTACCTGTTTTTATCCTATATTGTACAATTATAATATCTGAAGTCTTTGAGAAAAAGTTTTTTCTTCTTGTTTCCATGCTAGCTCTAAGTATGTTTATGCTGCGGTTGAATTCATTCTGCATGAGTTCTGCGGATCTGTGCTTAATGATGCTTCCCTCAAAAGGGGCTTTTGTGTTTGTTTCTTCCAGGTGCAGAGTTGTTACCAACCAGAGACCTCTTTAATTTAACTTCTTGTTTTTCAGTTTCCTGAGAATGGTATAAATACAAATTGCAGATATAACTGAGGTTAGGCAGATTGCAACCAGTCTCCTGAGAGATCATTTTCCCACACCTGGAGTTACAGAGAGAGAAGCAGTTTTTTTGCTCATGGGCTTCCTTTGGCATCAGGCAAATATTTTTCTCCTGTTCAGTAAGGGGAGCTTCTCCCTCAAGGCTGTAGCAGGGGATTCAATTCAGACATCCTTCTTGCTCTTGATCTGGTCCAAGCCATATGTTATCAAGGGCATATATATGTTAATTCTTCAGATGAGTTTCTGGAATACTTAGCCTGTGAGCCAGCTTTATATTTGCATTTGATCATCACTTTGTCTTCAGTGCCTTTCTCTTGCATGTGCACTATTTGTTTTTCTCACCATTTCCCTGCCTTTTAAGATCTCTTATTTCCTATCATCTCAACCATGTATTTAAAATGGAGTGCATTGTAGCTTACCTATAATGAAGGTGGTTTGAAGAAGAACATTTCAGATTATCCATTCTGGTATGCTGATGAGAGCACAGCATGCCCTTTTAATAGGTATTCAATAAAAGCAGGCCTGATGTCAGAGATGAAACTTTTTTTTTTCTAAACTTATTTTTGGAGCCCTGTGATGGATTCCACAGGGAGAAAAGTCTTTTATTTCTTTTTCATAGAGTTTTCCCATGGAATTGTTGACAGATTCAGATGCCTGTATTATTGCCAAACAGCAACGCAAAGTAGTTTGGAGACATTGCTGTAGGACTTGTACACTGGGTCCACACACTCAACATACATAAAGTCAGTCACTACATTGGGGTGGTAGAAGAAAGTAGGCAATTATTTCAAAGTGTGGAGCAAGAAGACAAGGAGGTATTAATTAATTCCTGGGATTCCTGGAGAGTTATGTTTGAAGATTCTAATGTATTGAAATTGGGATTTAGAGACACATGATCAGTTCCACTTTTCCTTTGTTTGATTGGTGATGCAATGCTCTTTAGGGAATTCATGTTGGCATTGTGGCCTCCAGTATGTCTAGGAATTATATGAAAGTGGCATGGCAGTTACATTATACACAGTCCTGCAATTCCCTTACCCAAATTGCACTAAAATCTACACTGGCCACTGAGGTTCTTTTTTTTTTAAGAAGCAAATGATTGCTTGAGTCTAAGAACCAGTGGACCTCTCCCCTAAGTCAGTTCATGCATTTTTATTAAAAGCAGTCACAGAAACCTTAGGCTAAGGGAGGCTGACAAAGGGATGTTTCTACGTTATAGGGGTTCAATTTCAGTATCTAGGTCATTGCTCTGAGCTTAGCAAACAATGTTGTGAATGATTTAAAAATACCAATTATATCAATTATTTGTAGTATAATAAATACTGGTGAAAATAATGAATAATGCTTATTCTGTTTAAAATTATTTTAGTATTATTCATATTTTTACTTTTTAGTTTGGTTGTATAAGAAACTGGAATAAATGGAAGCTTCCTTCAGAAACTAGAAATATCTCCTGAGAAATTACAGCTCACTAGAAACAACTGTGTTACAATTGCAGCCATAAGGCAAACAGAGCAGGATTCCTCCGCAAAGCATGTGATATACTTGGCATCAGATGCTATGGTGCATAACTTTTTTATGCTTTTCATTGCTTTTGAGATTTTAGGGCAGTTATTCTCCCTCTGAAAAACCTGTAAAGAAGAAATTAGTAGCCCCTGACTGATATCTATTTAGGGCTAGCTTGGGCACTCACAGGTAGACCTTGACATTCTGTAGAACATAAAAATATTTTGCAAAATATTAATATCAGAAAGCATCAGACTGTCACAATGATAAGGCATGACAAAAAATCATCATTATGTAGAGCAATCATTTCTGAATGCAAACAAAACAAAGGGCTTCTAGCTCATAAGCAATTGCAGTTTTATACTTGCTGGATTTCAGTACCTCTTATTTTTTTAAAGATTTATTTTTATTATTTTTTTATTGGAAAGGCAGATATACAGAGAGGAGAGACAGAGAGGAAGGTCTTCCGTCTGATGATTCACTCCCCAAGTGAGCGCAACGGCCGATACTATGCCGATCCGAAGCCAGGAGCCTCTTCCGGGTCTCCCACGCGGGTGCAGGGTCCCAAAGCTTTGGGCCGTCCTCCACTGCTTTCCCGGGCCACAGGCAGGGAGCTGGAAGGGAAGTGGGGCTGCCGGGATAGAACCGGCGCCCATATGGGATCCTGGGCGTGCAAGGCGAGGACCCTAACCGCTTGCGCTACCGTGCTGGGCCCTCAGTACCTCTTATATAAAAATTAGTGGTATCCAATTTATAGAGATATTGTTGGTTATTGGGAAAGCCTAATATGAAGCAATCCAAGCTTATGCAAACTCTTTCCAGTAGTCCAAACCCTTTCACATCCTTTTTTCAACTGAAAATGCCCTCTTATTCTTCCATGATATGCCATATTGCAAAGAGCCAATACATTAAGTTTGTTCAACTGTGCTCAATTTGGCAGCACACATGCTAAAATTGGAATGACACAGAAAAGATTAACATGGGCCCTGCACAAGGATGAATGCAAATTTGTGAAGCATTCTATATTTTTAGGAAATGATTTAAGTCAAGAAGCAACCAATAGAATGGGAAAAAATCTTTGCACACTACACACGTGATAAGGTACTCATATCCAGGATTTACAAAGAGCTTCAGAAACCCAGAGTCAGTTAAAAAAACTGTGAAGAAATGGGCAAAGGAAATGACATTTTTCAAAAGAGCAGATTTAAATGGCTAACAGATACATGAAAAGTTGGCCAAGCTCCCTAGCCATCAGAGAGATACAAATGAAAACCACTTTGAGGTACCATCTAATTCCAGTGAGATTGGCCTACATTCAGAATTCTGCTAACAACACCTGCTGGCATGGATGTGGGGAGAAAGGTACCCTCCTTCACTGCTTGTGGGAATGTAGGCTAGTATAAGCACTGAGGAAATCAGTATGGAAAGGGCTTAGAGAATTGCAAATAAACTTGCCATATGACCCAGCTACCAACTCCTATGAATACACATAAAGGAAATGAAAACTGTTTGTAAGAAAGGGATCTGTATTCATATTCACAGCAGCACAATCTACAATAGCAAAGACATGGAAACAATCCAGATACATGTCCGAATGGGAGTAGTTAAAGAAACTGTGGTATATCTACTCCATGGAATATTACTCAGCCATTAAGAGGAATTAAATTATACCATTTGCAGCTAGATAGTCCCAACTAGAGACCATTATGCCAACTGAAATAAATCAATCCCAAAGGACAAATAGCATATATTCTCCCTAATATAAGGAAGCCATCATGCAAATTTTAAGTTCAATAACAGTTTCCATACTGTTTTTGCTGAATCCCATGTGTTTTGATGTTTTTTATTTCATTTTCATTTCTTCCAAATGGTTTCTTTTCTCTTGTTGAATTCATTGCTGGCTCATGGATCGGATGGTGTCATCATTTTACTCAAGAGGCTTTTGTGTGTTCATTATCCATGCGTTGATGATCCAGTGGCATGCTTTTTAGACTCCATGTTGCTGCAATTTTGTTGTTGCTTTAAATTCATACCTATTGTTGACTTTGTTTCTTGGCTTCCTTTAAGGGAATATTTAGTGATAGCATAGCAGAGACTACCTTATCCAGATGTGAAGATAAAATGCTACATGCATCCCTACTTCCAAATCAAAGGTGGACTCCCAGTGAAACTGTTGGAAACATGTAGACAATGGGATGCTGGACTATGTAACATTGTTTGTATGACCAATGTTGAGGCACACTTAAATAACAGATTGATAAAATCACAACTCCTTATGAAGAAATATACTATCGTAATAATATGGGGAAAATCATGGGGTGGGAATTTGTGGGAAGGGAGAAATCGCACACCTTATGGAACTGTGCCATAAAATTCAATTTAAAAAACAAATAAATTATTTTTTAGGAAGATAAAAAGCTTGTTCAACTATCGAATTTTTTCTTGTGTTCTTTTTGGTGGGCATTGACATACATTGACTATACATTGCTGCTGAGTAACACATGACTCAATTAGTTTATCAAAAAAAAAAATTAACATTGGGAGCACAGGTTACAATGGGATAGGTGTGAAATTTCCCTGCCATACCATTATAAACCATGCACGTAGTGATTGGAATGTGCTGGTACACTATCTGAAATGAAGAAAGAAAAACAGGCAAGGGTTACACTTGGTTGTTTTGGGAAGAATGAACTAATATCGTATTGGTGAACTTGTTATCTGGTATTCATTCATCCCTTTAGTGTGTTACAGCAGTATTCATAACTACTCAATTTTCATACAGGAAATTTTTCCAAAGAATGATGACCACTACTTCAGAACAGTATAGCTCCCTTCGAAGCAAAAGAAAGAGAAATTAGAATTACACATTTATGTTTTAGATTTCTGGTAACATAATCCCATGGGTTTGGTGAAACCAGTTTAATGTAAATGTGAAGTGTAACAAAATATGAGTTTGTGAGCCTTTCAGAGGAAGCAGGAAATTTGATGTGCTGAGATAGCAAATAGGACTGAGGAAGTCCGAGTTTATTTCCCAGCCTCAGAGCACTCGGCCTGGATTTGTGAAAATGTTAAGAATGATGAATGAGCTGTAAATAGAAGATTTCTCTGACTGTGAGCCATAAACAACCATAAATGGATTAGACTGAACAGCTGGGAGCAAAATCGTGGGCATTATGCAGGCGCACAGTACTGGCTATGGAGTGTAACTTGCATCCCACCCTATTGACTAGCTGTTCCATGGACCATAATAAAACTAACATGGTTAATTGCTAGAAAGAAGCACACACCTAGAAATAGGCAAGTTAAGATGTCAGCCCTCCACTTTACCTCGCAAAGGTATGATAATTTGTGTTTCATTACAGCACTTTTTCTACAGGATCTGTGTTGCTCAAATAACCCTCCCCAACCACAGAAGCACACACTTGTCTCAGGCATGGGGACATTGATTACATTGTGTTGCCCTCTAGCTATGGATCAGTGACTTCATGTATAAGTCTTTTCTGATGTGCTAAAATTCCAAAGGAAAAATGTAGCATGTTACAATGCAAGCTAGGTAACACTGAATATGTTTTTCAATATCAGGCTATACATTGTATCCAGCAGGTCAACTTGAGATCATTTAATTCTGTCTGCATTTCTACTTACACAGAAACCGTACAAGTAGCAACCCCATACATCTTCTAGTTATGAAGTGGAGATTAGTCTTCTTCATTATTGTTATTTACACACAAGGGAAGGCGACAGGTGTTTGATAAGGGACTCTGTGGTGTTCCTCTTGCATTTAATGTGTGTAGCATATTGGATAGAGAATGCTTTGGTTTATGTCATATACTGTATTACGAAGGAGCTAATGGACTGTTTAGTTTTGTGTTCGATCACAGCTCTCCTATTTGAAAAGGTACTACATCACTTGAGGCTTTATTGTAAGAGGGTGTGTGAACAGTATTGGCTACTTGCTTTTTCTCCTATAGTGCAATATAGGTACATGTGCTTGGTTCATAAATCATACACATGTCACTGGTGGGGGGATGGGTGTGTTTTACCAATGTGCAGTATGATGTGAGAGGAACTTATTTCTAGTAGCGGTGCACCTCTCTACCTGGTTTCCTGAAATACTCTGGAATATACTTTTCTATCTGCAGTATTGCCAGAATTTCCACAAAATGTTACCAAAAAGCACCATTTGGTTTTATTGATTCTTGTATGCAATTGTTTAGGTCCTTGACTGTATTTTTATTTGCATGATGGCATAAAAAAGAAGTTGTTTGCCAGTAGGGTACAACTCTTCTTACTGTGACCACCCAGGCTGCCTGATCTGATTTACTTCCCTGGGTGTTTTGGTCCCCTGCTATTTACAACCAACCTACAAGCATAGGCTTAAAACAGTCATCTGTATTTCATTGGTGGAATTAATGCAGGTTTATTGAGTCTTTACTATGTGTTTGGGCAGCTTAGCACTGACAGTAGACACACGCCTGTGTCTATTATATAAACAACCTCCATTTTATTTATGGTGCTAATGTTACACCACCACACATTTGTTTCCTTCCACAGCACAATGGTGTACACACTCATTAAAGTTTTTGGTTTAGGTGTTTTGAAGCAAAATTTGGGCCATAGCTAAAAAAAGACAACATTCTTAAAACCAGAGATTTGGAGGCAGAATACAAATGTAGCAGCCACATGGTCAAACCTTCTAGAATTTTTGCTATTTTTTTCTTAGTTTGCAGATTTTCCTTTTTAATAAATTATAGGAATAATCAAAGCCCCTAAGAAATGAAGACTTTCTTCTTCACTGTGGATCCCTGGATTTTTCATGAGAAACAATTTCAGTTGTTGAATCAGTTCCCCCGCTCAGCTTGGGAGATTAATATCTCCCCCTCTAGACAACTGTGTAGTGGGTTGTGTTCTCCCAAAAGGTATGTCAGACCTTACCTTTGGACCTTTAATCCCTAGATGATTAAAAGAACATGTCCACGAGGGATGGGTGTGCATCTTCCTTACTTAGCCCCCTGATTCAAATGCCAGTCTCTTCCTGAAACAACCTAACAGACATGCCCAGAAATAATGCTCTGTCAGTTTTTAGGTAACCCTTAATCCAGTTGAGTTGAAACCTACAACTAGCTATCACACTGGATTCTGAAAAGCAGGAGGAGGAATGCAGCTTTAATGTGTTAGAATAAGTGCATTTTTTTTAAGATTTTTTTTTTTTTTATTGGAAAGGCGGATATACAGAGAGGAGAGACAGAGAGGAAGATCTTCCGTCCAATGATTCACTCCCCAAGTGCGCACAACGGCTGATGCTATGCTGATGCTAGGCCAGGAGCCTCTTCCGGGTTCCGGGTCTCCCACGCAGGTGCAGGGTCCCAAAGCTTTGGGCTGTCCTCGACTGCTTTCCCGGGCCACAGGCAGGGAGCTGGAAGGGAAGTGGGGCGGCCGGGATTAGAACCGGCGCCCATATGGGATCCCCGGCATGCAAGGCGAGGACCTTAACCACTTGCGCCACCGCGCGGGGCCCAGAATAAGTGCATTTTTATCCACTGTTATATATTCCTCCTTATTCTCTCCTTCTGAAAAAAAAAAAGGTTAATTGCATATGATAGACCAATAACCCAAATTTTGGAGCATTGATCAAGCACCATTTTAAGAAGTGAGATTGTTTTAACTGCTTCTCCCTTGTTCTCCTACCATTGGCCTACTTAACTGCTGCTAACTTACTTCCATAAGTCATTCTCATCCGTAGCCTGGAGCTCCTTCTCATCTATCTTAACTTGCATATTATGTCATTCTCCTAACTATTACATGAATTTTATTATAGTTAGTATTTTCACCTGTTTTTTTTTCTCTGCAATCCCTAGTTCCTAGCATGGTTCAATAATAGTAGATTCTAATAAATATTTGTTATTAAAAGTTGTATAAAAGAAATCAGAACAGAAGTGGGTTTAAACTGTGGAAAAAATGAAATGTTCTGAAAACACTGGTTATTATGATAGTGGCAAAGAGTGTCAGACTGTGTGAAGTCACATTACT